CCCTAATCACCACCCCGCTCTTGGCCGCCCCCGACGGATCCCCCATGCCGGCCCTAGCGCCGAGGCAGGCGCAGCGCGCGAAAGCCACAGCGGCCCAGGGACACACAATTCCTGGATTCCCCATATCTTCCTATATTTTCTCTGGGTCTTCGTCGTCGCCCCCCCCACTTCCCGTATTGTTCCAGGTTCTCGGGGGCATCGCCTACTCATGGTGTCTGTGTGTCTTTTCCCTCCTGAGTTCCTTGCCGCTCCACATAGCGCATCGGCGCGCACCGAGTCGGACCTCGGGATGGAGCACCTGTCCTCCAGACGTACATCTAGGGGGCCACATGCGAACCCTACCCCTACCCCCCACGATTTCTGAGGGGGAGGGTTCGCATGTGTGGCCCCCTGACACATCCGCTGACCCCTGGCCGGGCCCTTCCGGGGCCCAGGGCCCCGACCGCCTCGCGTCCGTGCACGGATCGTGACGGGAGGCGTCTCGCAATATTCGGCCTCGCGGTTTCACGGCCTGCTCTTGTCGGAGCAGTGGATAGGGAGCCACCTGCAAACCCTACCCCTACCCCCTCAGAAATTGTGGGGGGTAGGGGTAAGGTTCGCATGTGGCCCCCTGACACACCCCTGGCCGGGCCCTTCCGGGGCCCAGGACCCAGACCGCCTCGCGCCGTGCACCGATCGTGACGGGAGGCGCTTCGCAATTCTCGGCCTCGCAGTTTAACGACCTGCTCTGGTCGGAGCAGTTGCTAGGGGGCCTCCTAGTTGCACGGTCGGCTCAGGTCGGAGCAGTTTGACGACCTGCTCAGGTCGGAGCAGTTTACCGACCCGCTCGGAGCAGCTTCACGCCCACAGGAGAGGCCTGCGAGGTCGCTGGAAGGCCTTCCCCGGGGAAGTGGTCCAGACTTCCGAGGGCCACGTCAGGAAAATCTCACGACGCCGGGGGTCTGGGGAGCTGCGCCTACGCCCTCCTGGCCAAGCAGGATGGGGCCGCGGCGCATGCGCCGCTGCTGGGCTCAGGAGGGGCCTGGCCAGGGAGCAGCGGAGATGCATAGAGATCTCCTCGCACAGCGGGAACGAAGCAAAGACAAGAATGTACGCTTTCGGAGGCGCTTCCGGCGCCGCCCCTGGCGCGCTCCGCGCGTCAGGAAGCGGGCTCCAGCGCCGATCCAAGAAATCCGCGCGGACCTCCGAAAGTTGTCTTACTTGCCGCAGACTAATGCTTGGCGACGGTGCCGCCTTGAAATGCCCTGTATGCAACAGATGAAGTTGGTGATCTAATTATCTTTTGGCAGCGGCGCCTTTGGTGAACCACTCAGTGCTCTCGGTGCGCTACAAAGACTTCGCATGGGCCTTTCGTTGGCACAATCATCGATCGACAGCGGCCACCTCCTTCTCGCACTGCTTGCTTCGGCGGTGGCGCCGTGAGCAACTGCCCCAGAGAACGAGGCAAGCAAAACCTTAAATAGAGACCAAAAATTCCACACCCATAGTCAGCACCCCGACAAGCGAAGCCGTCTAGTAAACGCACCCGTGGAAGGAATCGAACAGGGCAGGGCTGTTTAGTCAACGCCCAGGGCTGTTTAGTGAACGCGAATTGTCGGGGTCGGGGTTGTGTTTCCACCCTTGATTAAATACAGGGACGCAGGAGTATGGCACTGCTTGCTCCTCGAGGATCGCGGGCGGCCCCAGGTGAGGCCTTGGGGTGGCTCGCCAGGCGCATGGAGGCCAGCACGGCGTCCTTCTGCTGCGCGCTCAGCTGCAGCACGTCCAGGCGGTGGGCCACCTCGCGCGGCTCCCCCGGCATGGGGGACGGGGTCGCGCGCGGCAGCGGCAGCCGAAGGGCGACAGCTCGCCATCGCTCGGACGTCCATTCCCCGTGCATGTTTCAGTTTCGTGCGTGGTTTTTTTCGCCAAATGATCAAGGATGCTCCTCGACGGTCCTCGCCAAAGGAAACATGCACACGTCCAAGCGATGTCAAGACAACGGGAGGGGAAGGCAGGGCTCGACCTGACCGGTGTGTCTCTTCAGAGGTCTCCTTGATGGGGTCGGAGTAGACGGGGTCGGAGGATCGGGCCGCATTTCCGATACACCGCCGACGCATCGGCGATGCATCGGCGAGTGCACTGGCGACGCATGGTCGACGTCGGCGATACATCCGAGACGTCGGCGCGGAGAAAATCGGGCCCCACATCGAACCGCATCGCCGATACATCGGCGATGCGGCGCGATCCTCCGACCCCATCTGCTCCGACCCCATCTAGGAGAAGCTAGATTCTTCCGTCTTCGCTTTGGTCTCGCTGTCCTTAGTTTTTTTGTTCGTTCCACCTCGGCTGCAAAACGAAGTCGAAGCGCACGCGATCCACGAGATCGGCAAAAGGCACCGCTCTGCTCAAGTCTGAGGGGCCGGGAGAAGAAGTCGGAGGGCAAACATCGGGGGTCTGCTAACCCGGGTCAATCAGACCCGAGTCGGCAGGAAACCATAAAACTGAAATGAAGGGGGGAAAAAAAACTGCAACGCAGGGCTTCGCAAACCCGGGTCAGCCAACGTGCGCGACCGCCCTGCGGCCACGAGCGGCTCGCTAACCCGGGTCAGCCAGAGGGGGTCTTCGCAGGATCCCGCAGGATGCCGTGCCCTGGCTGACCCCCGCTTGCATTGACCCCCGTCTCTGAAGCTTAAGTCGGGCATGTCCCCCTATAGGCGGTTTTTTAAACGAAAAATTAAGAATACCCCAAACATAATACAACAATGATCAACAATAGTCCAAACATCGTCCCCAGACTAGATCTTTACTATTGTTGCATATTCCCCCTGTAGGGGGACACGCCCGACCTGATCTTAAGCTCCGAAAGCACAGCAGCAGCAGCAGCAGCAGCGTCACGCGGGTGGGGCGGCCCCCTCCTCGTGCGACCTTCCTCTGCGCTCGTGAGAGGGTCGAGGGTCGAGGATGAGGATGAGGACGATGATGATGATGATGATGATGATGAGGAGGAGGAGGAGGAGGAGGAGGAGGAGGAGGGCAGAAGGCCGAGGCCCTCGTGAGAGGGCCCCAGCGTTCCAAGAAGCACGCCCCAGCCTTCTCGGGCAAGGCCGCGCCCCTCGCGCCGCTTCCCATGGTGCGCGCTGCTGGCGCCGCTGGCGCAAAGAGGATCGACGATCTCCCGCGATGTGATGTTTCCTCCTCGTCGTCCTCCTCGTCGTCCTCCTCCTCCTCCTCCTCCTTCGCGTCCTCGTCCTCCTCTTCGTCCTCCTCCTCCTCCTCCTCGTCCTCCTCCTCCTCCTCCTTCTCGTCCTCCTCGTCCTCCTCCTCGTCCTCCTCGTCCTCCTCCTCGTCCTCCTCCTCGTCCTCCTCCTCCTCCTCCTCCTCCTTCGCGTCCTCCTCCTGCTCGTCCTCCTCCTCCTCCTCCTCCTCCTCCTCGTCCTCCTCCTCCTCGTCCTCCCCCTCATCCTCCTCCTCTTCCTCCTCCCCCTCGTCCTCCTTCTCCTCCTCCTCCTCCTCCTCCTCCTCCTCCTCCTCCTCCTCCTCGTGCCAGGGCGTTCCTGCACCATGTTGCGCTCGGGAGCCGTTGCCTGGCGCGTCGAAGCGGCGGCCCCAGCGACACGCTGCGCCCCTGCACGCGGCTGGCGTGTCGCTCCGCAGCGTGGCGGGCACACTTCGCCTTGCCGCGCAAGAGGGCGGGGGGGGGACAGACTTGCGACATCCTGACCTTTTCAACACCGGGTCCCTGGACGTCGTGACCCCTTCTCTGGGACCGGTTTTTCATCACAAGTCGTTTTCGGACGGTCCCGAGGCCCGCGGGGAACTCCCAGGGGCGCCGAAAGTAGCGGGAAACCGTCCGTTCGGATTTTTCTGCGACAGGAGCATCTCTGGGGGGGGGGGGGGAAAGAAGGGAAAGGGGGAGAGGTGGGTTGGGGGGGGCCTGTGGGAAGGGATTGGGGGGGAAGGGGCGGGGGGGGAAATGGGGGGTGAAGGGGGGGGGGAGGGCGGAGCGGCGAGGAGGGGGTATTTGGGGAGCGGGGGGAAAGGGGGGATGTGGAAGTGAAGGAGGGGGGAGGGGGGTGGGGGGGGATCTTTGTGTAGGTGGCCTGTATGTGTATCATATGTTCTTTCTCCCTATCTCTCTCCCCTCCTCCATCCTTATCATCGACATCATCATCAACATCCTCACCCCCTCCTCCCCCTCCTGATCGTCGTCATCATCATCCTTGCTCATCATCATCATCATCATCATCATCATCATCATCATCATCATCATCATCATCATCATCATCATCATCATCATCATCATCATCATCAACATCAGCATCATCATTATCTGTCCTGCTCCTCCTCATGCTCCTCCTCCTCATCAGGGCCGCGCCATACGTTTTCTGTCTAAATCTATTCGCCACCTGCTTGATGGTGCTGACGATGATGACGAGGAGGATGGGGAGGAAGGATGATGATGACGATGATGATGCTGATGATGAGGAGGAGGAGGATTGATGATGATGGTGGTGATGAAGTGGACGAAAGCAGCCAGCTGGACCGGCAGGAGAGTCAGCCCTCCTCCGTCCCCTTCTCATCCTCCACCTCCTCCTCCTCGTGCCCCCGTTCTTCCTCGTCGTCCTCCTCCTTCTCATCATCGTCATCCCTCCTCTCCTTCCTCCTCATAACCGCCCCTCCTCCTCATCATCAACACCATACATGGCGTGGAGTGTTTCTAATCATCCTCATCAGCATCATCACCATCACCTCAGCATCATCATGATGTTCCTCCTCGTGTTCATTGTCGTCCTCATCCCTCTCCTCCTCGTCATCACCGCTTCCCTCCGCGCAATAAGAATTCCATACACACATAACAATAAGAGAACACACAATCAAAACCAACAAGAAATCCATACAATCGAAAACAATAAGAAATCCATGCAATCAGAATGATACCGGAGAAAAGCCCCAATCAAAGTGTTTTTTGATGAGATCCCTTTGTAATTGTTCCTTAGGTTTATGAAGTCTGCGAGGGCTATGAAGGCCATGAGGGCTATAGGGCTGTAGGGCCATAACGCTATAGGGCTACAGGGCTGTAGGGCTATAGGGTTATAGGGCTATAGGGACATGGGGCTAAAGGGCTGTAGGGCTAGATGGGCTATGTGGGCTATAGGGCTCTGGTGCTCTAGGGCTCCAGCGCTATATGGCCACTGGGCTGTATGGCTATAGGGCTATGGGGCTGTAGGGCTATGGGGCTATGGGGCCATCGGGCGATAGAGCACCCGGGCACCGGGCCACCCAGGCCCGGCCTGGGCCCCCGGGCACCCCGCGGGCCCCCGGGCCCCTGGGCCCCCCGGGCCCCTGGGCCCCCCGGGCCCCTGGGCCCCCGGGCCGGCCACCGAGATCGGCGACGCGCCTCACCCGTCCATATGAATCCGCAGGGGCCCCTTACAGAGGCAAGCTCGGAGTGGGGAAGAAGCAGTGACCCATACGATCAAAAACGATAAGAGCTGCATACAACCGACAACAAGAAGAGCACCAGGCAAGCAGAAACGCCAAGGAAACCACACACACACACACTCCAAAAACAGGAACTCCGCACAATCAAACACAAATTATCCCAGTGCGACCCTACCTGAGAGTTGGAGCCTCTAGGAAAGCAACATGCCGCTATGCTATGCTTTGCTAGCAGCGCTGTGCTATGCTATGCTATGCTATGTTATGCTCTGCTCTGCTCTGCTCTGCTCTGCTATGCTATGCTGCGCAATGCTATGCTGGGCTAGGCTAGGCTAGACTAGGCTATGCTATGATATGCTATGCTATGCTATGCTGCGCTGTGCTATGCTATGCTGCGCTATGCTATGCTATGCTATGCAATGCTATGCTATGCTTTTCCTTTGTCTTCGCTTTTGCCTTCACTTTTGCCTTTGCTGTTGCTTTTGCTGAACACCCAGGGAGCGCAACCGGGGGAACCGCCCGGGGCGCTTTACACTGCCCGGCCCCTTTAAGCAAGCAGCGTAAGAACCCTTCTAGGCAGAGCCTAGGTTGGGAACAGATATCCATACCATCAGAAAAAAAAACATCAGAAATCCATGCAAGCAAGAGCAATAAGAAATCCGTGCAATCAAAAACAATAAGAAAGCCACACAATCAAAAGCAATAAGATAACGTCTGGGGTCCACGAACCCTGTGAGGGTTCCAACAAAACCCAAACAACAAAAAACAACAAAAACCTGTGAGGGTTCAAAAACAACAGAAATCCATGGCATTCCGACTTCGGACTTCCTCCAGCCCCTCCGAGCCAGATCCGCCCAGGCAGCCTGAAGTCCCGAACACCATTGATTTTTTGTTTTTTGGGAACAACTACATGTTTTTCATTTTCATTGGACCCTCACAGGGTTCGTGGACCGAAGACGTTTTCTGATTGTTTTTGATGTATGGATGTCTGATTTTTTTTGAGCGTGCAGATTTCTTTTTGTTTTTGATTGTATGGACTTAATGTTGTCTCTGATCGTGTGGACTTCTGTTTGTTTTTGATTGTGCGGATTTCCTATTGGTTTGAGTGTTTGGATTTCTTAGTGCTTTTGATTGTACAGATATTATTGTTTTTTTGCGCGAAGGCGAAGAGAGATGAGGATGAGGAAGATAAATACGTACGAGATGGTGATGGTGATGAGGATGTTGATGACAGTCTTGAATCTCACCCTGACACACAAGCCACCTACACAAATATACCACCCTTACGGGGGGAGGGAAGAGGGACATGAGAGGGAGGGAGAGGAAACGCGAAGAGAAGTGAGGGCCTCCTCTTCCTCCTGCCAGGAAGCTTTGCCCATCTTTTCACAAGGGAGAGGGAAAAAAGCTCCTCCTGCCATGAAAGAAAAATAATGAAAGGGCCAGGGACACACAAATCGACACAAATCCCAGGATGCCCCATCGTTCCCAAACGTTCCGGATGTTCGCCTTCCCCTCCGTTTCCCATATCTTCCCTATTTCCCGGGGCATCGACGACTCCCCGTGTCTGCGTCTTGCCTGCCCCTCCTGTTGAAGGAATCCTCCCAGAGGCCGCCACCTCTCGGGGAACTGCGGCGGAGCACTCCACGGGGACGGCGGCGGGGAGGGCACCACGGGGCCCACGGAGCGGGTGTCGCTGGCATTCGGTCGGGCGTGTCCCCCTACAGGCGGAGACTGGAGGAAAAATGAGAAAATACTCAAAACATGCTGAGCATATGCAAAAAAAAACACACTAAATCGCCCCCCAGACTAATTGTTTTACTCTTTTTGAATACTCCTCCTGTTGAGGGACAGGCCCGACGTAACGCTGGCATGCCCCAGGACGCGCTCGCGTGGCGCCAACCCTGCAGCAGGTGATGCGCAAGGGGCCCGCACGCACGCCAGATACCACTCCGTCGCCCTTGCCGCTGGTGGCGGACACACCGTCTTCATCCCTTGCCGCCCCAGCTGCTCCCGCTTCTCATCACATTCCTCCTCCTCCTCCCGCCGCCTCGCCCTCCTCCGCCCCCACCTCCGCCCTTCTGTCAGAGTTCATGCTCCAGACGGTCCAGGACGGCATGCGCGCAGCCTAAGACCCTTCTCCTCCTCCTCGTCATCATCATCTCTGCCCGCTCCCGCCCTCTTTCTGAATACAGTGCATGGCATGACCTCCTCCTCCTGGCTTCTCCCTCCTCTTCATCATCATTACCATCATCACCCTTACCACCAAAACCACCACGGCCATCATCATCACCACCATCATCATCATCATCATCATCATCATCATCATCATCATCATCATCATCATCATCATCATCATCATCATTTTCTTCATCATCATCTTCTACATCACCATCATCAGCATCAACCTCACCAGCATCAACAACCTTATCATCCTCATCATCATCATCATTATCCTCATCCTCGTCATAATCACCATCCACATCATTATCAGCATCGTCATCAACATCCGCTCACCCCCTCCTTCCTCCTCCTTTCCCTGCCTCACGTCCTCCTTCCCCCTCCTCATCTCTCCTTCTTACCCCTCATCCCTCCCCATTCTTCACCTCCTTCAGCTGATGATCCTCCTCCTCATCCACCTCCTCCTCATCCTCCTCCCCTGCTCTGGTACGCTACCAGATTGTCAACACTCAACAGGGCCTTTGATTCGCGGTGTTGAAATCCCGGGAATGGTTTTGGGAAGACTGAGGATTCTCAGACGGTTGTCTTCCAACAGGGCACTTCATGCAGCGATGCATGCTTGCGTAATCCTGTGAAGAGAAAACTTGATGAAAGGAGGGTGTATTGCAACCTTGCTGGTGCTTGATGCGTCTTGTGCTTCAACTGGTCCTCCTCCTCCTCCTCCTCCTCCTCCTCCTCCTCCTCCTCGTCCTCCTCCTCCTCTCCGTCCCCTCGTTCGCTTCCCCAATGCCCGCCCTGGGTCTCCCCTGAACTCCTCCTTCTCCACCTCCTCCTCCTCCTCCCTCCTCCCTCCTCCTCCTCCTCCTCCTCCTCCTCCTCCTCCTCCCTCCTCCTCCTCGTGCTCCTCCTCCTCCTCCTCCTCCTGCTCCTCCTCCTCCTCCTCGTGCTCCTCCTCCTCCTCCTCCTCCGCCGCCTCCTCGTCCTCCCCGCCCCAGCTTTCATCCAGCGGCGCCGACGCTCGAGGCACCGCCTGGGGCCTCTGCGGGCGCTGCGGCCGCTGCCTCCGCGCCGCGGCGGCGTGCGCAGGGGCCCCCGGGGGCGCACGGCGCCTGCGCCACCCGCCCAGCTCCACCGGCGGGGGAAGTCGTCGACCACAGGCGTGCACGCGGCAGCCAGCGTGGCCACACGAAGGGGGCGGGCTGGTCCTCCTCCTCCTCCTCCTCCTGCTCCTCCTCCTCCTCCTGCTCCATCCTCCGCCTCCTGCTCCATCCTCGTCTATCCTCCTCCTCCTCCTCCTCCTCCTCCTCCGCCTGCTCCTCCTCCTGCTCCTCCTGCTCCTCCTCCTCCTCCTCTTCCTCCTCTTACTCTTTCTCCCTCTCATCCTGCTTTCTATTTCTCTTCAAGGTGCTCCCCAAATGTGTTCCACAACGACGGGTAGGGAGGAACACGAGAAGGAGGCGCAGGAAGAGATGGGATGAGCACATGACAGATGACGATGTCTGTTGAGTGGTCGCGAGCCGCCCCAGATGCGAGGACAGCGACGTCCTCGAAACTCAAAGAGTCGCATGATGATGATCGTGGGAAAAGATTGCGGAGTGGAAATGAGGTGATGATGAACGAGCCCGGACCTACCGAATCTCAGGATGAGCATTCCGGGCCCCAGATAAGTGCGGTGGCCGACCATGCGGTGATCTCGAAACCGCCGAAGACCTCACCGCACGGTCGGTCACCATAAGATTTGGCACATTGGGGACCCCATTTGCCCGAGGCATCCTCAAGGAATCACCCAAGTCCCAGCGCTGTGCGGTGACCCCTGGTCCCCACTGACTCAGCACACGGTGCACTCACCGCGCCGTTCAGGGGGCCCCAAGAGGAGGAGGAGAAGGAGGAGGAGGAGGAGGAGCACGAGGAGGAGGAGGAGGAGGAGGAGGAGGAGGAGGAGTTCAGGGGAGACCCAGGAGGAATAGGAGTGGGAGTTCAGGGGGCAAGAACAACATGAAAAGAAGAGGTGGAGTGGGAGGGCTGAATTGGTTAACCGCGATAAGCCTTTAGAACCCCCCCAATAATTGAAAACCTTAACATGGATTCGGCGACCTTGACCGTGAAAGGTCTCAAGAGATCCCCAAAACAGTGGAAACTATTGTTGGGCGACCTTATTGACGGACTGGGGTCCAACCAATAGCAGAAAAGAAATATTAAACCGCGGCACCCGCCACACAACAACGACGACAACGAGATGAAAGATAAGATTGTGAGCAACGCCTTCGGCCAAGAATGTGTCGAACTGTACTGCAAGCCTCGTACAAACGTGTTCAACTTTCCTGTGTCGTGCATGTCGCCCAGCAAAACTCAGTCCCTGGAAGAATGAACCCCAAACATCATAGCTCGCCGAACAATAGAC